TATCAACAAAGTTGAAATGGTAAATTGGCCACCGTAACGATTACAAAAGCTGACGTTTCTAGCGTTAGCCCTTCGTCATTCGCTCCGACGAAGGGCTAACGCTCGAAACGTCAGCTTTTGTAATCATTACGGTGGCCAATTTACCATTTCAACTTTGTTGATACATCCAAAATGCCACAATGTGATTGGCCAATTTGCGGTTGTCGATAAGAGTAAAGACAACACTGCTCGCGACAACGTGTCACTCATTGAAAGAATCGTTTTATTTGACGTCGATATTGCGGTAAAAATCAAATCGACAGTGGTTTAGTGTGGTCTGTACTCTTATCGACAACGACATTCGTCATCACAGTAATCAACGTTAGTTGCGGACTCACTCGGCTGCGCCGCGTAAGTCCACAACATTTTGACCACTGTGATAACCAATATCGTTGTTGATAAGCTGCGATAAGAGTGCAGACCACGCTAAACCACTACCGATTTGTTAATTTTGTAACAAATAACATTACATCTCATGTGGGATACAGGACACAATTAGTTTACTCCAGTAGTCCAGTTCCGATCCACAGTTGTACCATGTTGAACAGCTGCTGGACGAAAAAACTACTTGTTCTCTACAGGGTTGCATGACGAAAAGATTTAAGTAAGGGAGAAGATAGTTCCGAAAAGGGATTTTCTCAGAGAAAGTGACAGATTTTGTGACAACTCGAGTAGTAGTCAACAGCAGAAATAAGTTGACTAACTGTAAAAGTGCGAGTCATTGCAATTGAGCAGAGTCGTATACAGCTTTCCCCTTTTCAGGATAATCACGCTAGTGTCCGGTCTTTTCGTCCAAGAGTCTTTTCGTCCAAGTTTTTTCGTCTAAAGTTATAACACTGTTTTAAATTAAGTTGTAACGCGATGTATTATATTAAGTTGTGACAAAAATAAAGACTTGCCATTTAATTATTTCGCGCGACAGACATGGGAATAGTGGGCTTGTTGTTAAGCGCTTTATTGAGCGTAATAGATAAATAAGTGTAACATCACTAAGTGTCCGACATAACCTACAACATAGTCCAAAATGATAACGAAATTATGAAGGCCTTATCTAGCCTTTTAAAAGTCATTTGTTTCCTTCGAGAAAAGATTCAACAGTTAGACGAACAAACTTAGATGAAAAAACTTTTGGTCGAAAAGACTTGGACGAAAAGACTTTCGGACGAAAACACCGTAATTCAGTAAACTTTAGTTTTCATGGCAGGGGCTTTAAATAACCATGTATGGTAACCGGTTAAGTTGTCTGAGTCATCTCGCCCAAAGTCATGTCACCTGGAACCTGAGTCATGCCGCCCAAAATTTTAGTCACGTGGCCCGAAAAAAAAAAGTCAAGTCGCTCGAAGAAACAAATATTTAAAAGATCAGACTTACAGGGGCGACATGACTAAAAATTTCGAGTGAAATGACTCAGGTTCCAGGCGACAAAATTTCGGGCGAGATGACTCTCGAGCGACTTGACCGTAAACGCCATGAGTGATTCAAACAAGCTTGTGGTTTTCAAGTCGGCTAGTCTCGCATGTCTGCTTGAACAGAAGTTTCTTTTGTTCTTGCCTAGCACCTGTATTGCAGGTTGAGTTAACCTTGCATTAGTTATAAGTTGTTTTCCATCACCCTCTCCCAGATCTCATACACATACCTGGTTCAAGTGATCCTTTTAAGATAGCGATGACGTTAGTTATGTTCTTCTTTGTATGATCGTTATTGGTTTCCACTTCCACTTTCCTATGTAAAGATACAAACATAAATTTACCACACAACAGAGAAGCTTCAGGCTGTGTTATAACGTCCTGTTCAAATACACTGTTACTCGGTGTGCTGTGTCAAATTTATCCAGTGTAGCATTAGACTCACTGCGATATTACCAATAACTCATTCCAAAAACAAAGAAAAGAGGATGTATGTCAAAGATGTTTTTCCGAATTACTATAAATTAATGCAAGAGTAACATTAAGGTTCACAACAGATTGTGTCTGCAGTTTCTGCTGTAATGTTGCTTCATGCCCCACCTTGGCCGCACCTCAAGTTATGAAATTAAGCTATATACCTGAAACACACCATTTCACTCATTAAACCTAGGAGTGTCTAGCATCTAATTTCTCCTTACTGAGGCTGAGCACATAGTAAATGATCACTGAAGACCAAAGAAGCTACCTTTGGAAATCATGAGTAGGGAATAAAAATTGAATATCATCTGCATACCACCTGCATCTATTAATTAGTTAATTTGGTTAGGCAGGGGACGTTAAAGAACCCACTCCCGAGATTACTGTGATGTGGTCTGGCCTGTTTACTGGGAATTGGGGGGGAGGGGGCATCTTCAAATAAGTTTCCTTCAATTGTTTGTAAACTGCTGATGCAGTCCGGCCAAAGTCCCCCGAAAAGTGTTGTGATGTGCATTTGATCATATCCACATGTTAATTTGTGCAATATAAATATTAAATTATTATTATTACTATTATTATTATTATTATTATTATTATTATATACACACTGATGCTAGTGTGTGAAGGATTAGCTTAAATAAGACCTAAACCTGTCATACCAGTCACTATAATTACTAGAAAATCCCGGTCCAAGTCGATAAGTGATATGTAATCCACCTTGCCAGTCATCCGGGGCCTCATCCCCTCCAAGAAGTCTATTTAAGTCAGAAAAGGTAAAATCAAAAGCAAATACCAGTAAGAGGGGGGTGGCTGCTGAGTGATGGCCATAGCTGCCAGCTAAAATGGTCATTGTTAGCTAGTTACTTTTTTAGCTTTATTTACCGTAATTAACGATGAAAACTTGCACCCACAATCATTGAAATACCATCTAAAGAGTTTTGTGTGTAGTTACTGTATCAATTTCCCAGTTTTGAGTGGGAGTGGGTGCTTATCAATCACTTCTACATTCAGAGTTTTCACAATAGCTTGTGCAAACTTAGAGGAACACTTGGGACAATAAGACAGAAAGGATAGTTCCTCATCTTGTGTGAAATCTCACAAAAGAACATATGGCATCCACAAAAACTTGGCCATGTATTACTACCTATTGGCCTTCTACTTCCAGAATTAGGGAAGGCGTGGTGGCCTCATGGTTACTGCACGCCACTCCAGATCGAGTGGTCTGGGTTCGAGCCCTGGTCAGGGACATTGTGTTGTGTTCTTGGACAAGACACTTTAATCTCACAGTGCCCCACTTCATCCAGGTTTTTAAATGGGTACTGGTGAACTTAATGCTGGGGGGTATCAAAAACTTTAACCCTGCTATGGACTAGCATCTCATCCAGGGAGGAGTAGAAATACTCCTGCTTGCTTCATGTTACGGAAACCAGAGTTAAGTGTCAGTCTGATGGGCCACTTGGCTCAAAAACAGACTTTACCTTACGTTTTACTTACAGAGTTACAAACTAGCTGTCCTGATTATCTGTATGCACACACAATTAGGTAGTTATTGCAGCAACAAGGCAACAAATTTAGGTTTGACAAAAAAATTTTAATTAATAACAGACCTCAGAAAGCGTTCTGCATCCTCGGCTGAAATTGGATGAGCAGGAATATGTGGCATTTTGATTTCATCCGAACTCTTCCGATAAATACCATCTGTTAAAAAAAAAAAAGCCAAAAATTACGAACATCAAGGTGGTCAAAGTAAGCTGGCAACCAGCACAACTATCTACCGTGAAAAAGGCAATTGCTCTAAATGCTTGTGACTCCTAGAGCCCTTGTCTGGGTTAGAGGCCAGTTTGAACCCTAGTGGTACCTACTTTGTATCATGGTGCAGTTACTCAAAATCTTTGAATCATGTTTACTATAGGTAGTCTCAAGCGATATGTCAGTTAATGTATTAGTTAAGAGTTGGTTGATACTAAACGGATCTGTTGCTCGACAGATATGTCAGTCGACACTCAGTTGACACTCAGTCGACACTTGGTTGACACTCATTCAATACCCGGTCAATAGTCAGTTGATAGTTGGCTGTTACACAGTTGAGAGCTGGTCGATGGTCGATAGCCAACAATCTTGACAGATACATTGACTGACTATAGACTGAGTCTAGACTGAGTATTGGCCAACTATTGACCAAACTATCAACTGAGTATCGACTGACTTTCAACCAGGTGTTGACTGAGTGTCAACTAACATATCTGTCGCGTATCAACCTACTCTTGACCAATCTATCCACCGGTATACTGGTCGAGAGTACCTTTAGTAAACATAATCCAAGTGTTTTCAGGGCTCGACACTTACCTTTCAACTTACTAGCCAAGTGGCTAGTGACGTCTTAGATGCTTTTAGATGTTATGACAATTTCAGTCTGTTTACTAGCCAAACTAGCGAGTGGAAATTGAAAAACACTAGCCAAAACTGAATTTCTACTAGTCTGTAGCTGGTGGGCTACTGTTAGTGTCGAGCCCTGTGTTTTTCAGTTGACAACCCTGTAACATATTAAATGAATTCAACTTCCACCTTTTGAAGGATATCTTGGAGTGAGAGGATCACCGGTGCCAATGAGAATTGAGCCACGCTGTACACCCGACCTAGGCAGCCACCAGCCATGAGGAAAAAGATCCTCGTCTGAGACAGGTGCAAAATCACTAGGGTCATTGTATATCAGGATAGCTTTTGCTCCACAGTTCTGTGCATTGGTTACCTGGGAATATTGAATAGAACTCAAATTTAACAACCTGAATCCAATTTCTTTCCATATAATTTTCCATACTCATTATAGTTTTATTTTATTACACCACTCGGGCAGTCAGAGGGCCAATAACTAAAATCAACCAATCAAAATGCTCTATTGCCAGTCAATATTCTCTCAGTATTGGACCGGGCACTGTCCCGAATGGTCCCGAATGATACTGCACTTGTGTCCCTTTGAACTTCAGTCGTATAATAAATCTCTTATTAACCAAGCTTGCTCGGGACCGTACCGGAAGAATATTGGCCCTCGGTCTTTTTTGTACGGACCTCACTGCACTCGGTCCGCACTGTCAAGACCTCAGGCCAATATTCTCCCAGTACAGCCCTCGCGCTTGGTTAATAAGATATATATATTTGAGAGAGCAGGAATGGTACTGTGGTAGGTAGTCATTGTATTTCAAATGCAATCACAGGAGAGCGGATGTAAGCGATTGAAGATAAGTCTACAATTATAATTCTAATTTGATAACAAGTGAGAGGAACCACCTTGTGGAGGTCTACTGCTAATTAAGTATAATTCATTTATCTAAATTTGATAAATATTTATATTGAGATATACATATATATTTATTGAAAAGCGAGCATTAGGGCTATGACAAAAGAGATTAGAGAATTTTCTGGTAACCCCACAGAATTATCTTGGTATATTACAAAGCCAAGGCTGTTTTTAAGTTATTTAGTTATTTATTCATAAGTAATGACCATAGAACAACAAAATTGAGTATCAAAAGGTCAACCTCCAGAATAAACTAAAACCATTGGGCCCACCTGAGTGGTGTAACTACAAAGACTAATCGCACAAATCAAATGATCGACTTTTTTTTTTTATCAAATATTACACTCTGTGAATGACTGTGAATATATGAATGTCAAATAAGTGAACTGCAGATAATTCAATTGCATTGTGAGGGTGAAAATTATTTCTGCTAAGATTGTTCTCCCATTCATTACATCCTGTATTGATCAGTTACCTTGTCACCTCTGAAGACACGCCCGTATCTTGCGATGACAATCTTCCCGAAACAGCTGATGTTCCTACTACTCAATAATTCAAAATCTTCACGTCTTCCATAATTGACATACATCAAGTCACCCTGAAAGACAGTACAGATCAAACTGCATGTGAAGGTTACAATGACATATATTAACCTAACTTTCTCTAAACAACTTAACAAATTGTAATTAGTTGTAATAAAAGCACAAGTTCGATATATGTTTGAATAAGAACAAGAAATAGGAAGAAGAGTCATCATCATCATTGCCTTTGGTGCCTACAGGAGCATAGGCTGGCTAATTAAGATATAATTTGGATATATCAACAAAGTTGAAATGGTAAATTGGCCACTGTAACGATTACAAAAGCTGACGTTTCGAGCGTTAGCCCTTCGTCGGAATGAATAAAGGAATTGTGGGTTGTACGTGTGTGCTTTTAAAAAGCTTTTAAAAGTTGTGGGTTGTGTGTGCTTTTAAAAGCTTATTAAAAGTACGTACACACAACCCACAATTCTTCTATTCATGCTGACGAAGGGCTAACGCTCGAAATGTCAGCTTTTATAACAGTAACGGTGGCCAATTTACCAGATCAACTTTGTTGATATATTCAAATTATTTTGTTACCCCCACCGACACAGCGCCAAACAGTTTCTTTAGAAACTATCAGCCTTTAATTAAGAGCTCCCCAGGCATCCCGATCCTGGGCTTGTCTCTCGAGGTGTCCCCTGGTGTAACCCATCCTCTCTGTTTGAGCCTCCAGATCGCGGCACCAGGTGCGATCTGGAGGCAAGAGTACACAACAGAATTTTGCAAGCACAATACTTGTAAAAAAGGAATATGTGAAAAATAAAATTAATTTTACATGTGTTTAATTTTCAATTTGGAAATATGAAGTGCCAATCAGAACTTGCATCAATACAAGAATTAAGCCACAAAAAAAAGAAGCCAACAAATGACATGAGAGGGCTCTGTGTGCTTTTCCTAAATGACAAGATGTATTTAAGAATGTAGCCATTGTTTGATTTATTTGAATGCAAATTAAGACGGTGCAGTTGAGACAATAACAGCAAAAACTTTGGATAAATTAGCCACGATTATAATTTCTGATTTAATTTGTCACGTAACTGGCACTGTGTGTTACCTTTTCCTTGCCAGTGGGTGAATAGCCACTGAAAGGAGGTAATGCGTCAGGTGATTCTTCAGATGGCTCCATGACCTTCTCCTTCTCAGCAGTTTGAAACTGAACTTTTCCACTTCCATCATAAAGTTTAGCTCCATTTATTTTCCCCTTCACAGGGAAGGAAAGAAGAACATTATACCTGATTAACTTGACCTCAAACCCCAAACTTTCCCATTCATCCTTGATCCAATCTGCTAGTTCATCATTTCTCTTAGAGCTGGCATGATGTGGATGAAGCGTCAATTTTCTGAAAAAAAAAAAAAAAAATCAACACTCTTTTCACCCTTTAACTCTCAGAAATGATTAAGATGTTATTTCTCCCCTATGATACCCATACATTATCCAGCACACAGGTAATGAGAATACTCAAACTTATCTGCTAGAAGTTGTTTTGTCAATCCATAACCAAATTCTTGAAACTAAATTTCAAGATAGAAGGGTTACACTTGATATCCGTAAAACAGTGCTCGATACATATAGTAGAGTGAGTGCAACGTATGATAGGCAGAAAAAAAAATCAATCAACTACATGTCATCCCTACAGACTCGTTTCATGGTTGCCCACTCATTGGGGGATTTTAAATTTCAAGATATGTGGTGGCTATAGAGAGGAGAATTAACAATCAGATCTTAGGGGTTAACACTATACACCCTTACATCAGTATGCATATTCTCCGTACTGTTCTCTATGCATTTCCTAAGATGCTGACAAGGAGAATTTGTTTAACAAACAAGAGCTTCTATATTTGGTGATGATTTTTCAACTCTCATGACCTTAATGATTGATTCAAGGAGGATATTGTAAGGAGAAATAAGATGCTGATCACTCTTAGGGATTGAAAGGTTCAAAGTTTGACCAGAAAGCTCTGAGAAATAGCTTTTTATCCTCTGACTCCGCAATGAGTGACTAGCACCTCATTTCTCCTTAAAATATCACCCCCTGAATCACACGTTAAGGTCACAAGAATAAAGGAAATGATCACCAACTAGAGAAGCTCTTGATTGTTAAACAAATTCACCTTGTCAGCACCTTAGGAAATGTATAAAGAACAGCATGGAGAATATGTATACTGATGTTAGGGTGCAAAGGGCAAATGATATTGATCAAAATAATTAACTACAATCAAAGACTTTATTCTGCCAACGAGAACAAAACTCAGCCTTTAAATTCAGCTGCCAGATCTTACTAACATCAGCTTAATATATTTTTCTTCTTTGACAGGGTTTTTAAGTTTCACAGCATGTTCATTTGTATCCTGGTGATCAGCTATATGACATTTGATTTGTACATCATGATGAATGTGGCAGTTGATTCACATGCAAAACACACTTCTCTATTAAACAGAAGATACTAAACTTTTATGTCATTTATTCTGCCAATTTTCTTTTGCAAGGGCTTACTTAAATGTGGATTAGGGGGCATTCCTATAAGCCAAAAAAAAAATTACCAGAATTAAAGCGTGCAATAATTTCATGCTGCGCTGAGCATAATATCAATTCGAGGAATTGATATTTTTACATCTGAACAGGGCTAAAATATGACAACATAAATGATGGCCTAAAAATGTGTATTCAACGTAGCTTAAAACGTAATAATCATTCGCTGTAAGAAGTTAATTTACTGACTGGAAATGATTTATTTAGAGAACGGCAAGAGGAATTTTCCTCAAAAAAAATAGAAAAAGAAATCTCTTTTGGACCCAAGTCCGCGTAAATATGTATTTTAAGTTTATTTCAAGGCTCTATCAAAACCTGATTAGGAAGATATAAAAAAAAATAGTGAATAAATCGCGCAGAACAAGCCTCAAGCTGGCCGTGCCCTGACGCCTTGTCACGCACTGATTTGTACATGAAATGAAGGTGCGAAAAAAATTAATCTGCATGTTTCGTGCATCCTTGAATTGAGGTGAGTCTATCTGCTCCCTCCCAGATCGACTACATACTGTGTTTCCAGCTGTGCGGTGGGCGCAAAAAGCTTTTTGAACACGCATTTTCATCGAAGTAAGAACATGTCCCAGAACCGCTTCTGATTAAGTTTCTCTGCATCACGCACAAAAAAACAACTGATACACTGTAACACATTGTAATAAAGGCGAAACGATTAACAATAAATTGGTTTTCTCACCTGCTCCCCTGAGCAAACGTCGACATTTGAGCTTCAGTTAATAGTGAATTGATTGCTTTAAAAAAATGCAATAATGTAAATAGCTTGAACAAACCTCAAGTTCCCTTCGATCTGCTCCGCAGACATTTCTTCCAAGATTTCCTGCAGTCGAACTTGTGAGGGAGCCGGGGACGACGGAACATCGCCACTGCCTTCTTTTTTACATTTAGATACAGTTCTGCGTACCATGTACCCACCAATAAATGCCGCAGCCACAACACCGATTATCACCACAACTGCTGTAACTCGAACCACATTACACCGATTTTCCCCTTTATTTTTGAGAATTATCGTTGGCTGTGCAAAGCTTTCCTCTTCGGGGTGTAGCTCCATTTTGGCATCAAACAGGTAAGAAGTGTCAGGCTTATCCATCGGATTACGCCTTAGGAGCCAAATTCAAAGAAATTTCAATTAACGCTGGGAATTTCCAACAAGAACTTAGGCTGCATGGTTTGACGAAAGCCAAATGTAATTGAAATTTGCGACCACCCCTTCTCACAGATGGTGAGTTCTCGCGGGACTGATCATGCATGCTATCGCAAATTTAGCCAACATTGCACGAAATTATCAGAACTTTAGATTTAACGTGAGTTTTTACATGTATGTGACTATTCCATTTAACACAAACCTTTTCTAATGTACGAGACCGGGCCAAAAGAGTTGAAGCGACAAAATTTTATTTTTGCTCCCTTCAAGTCTTCTGAAACATTTGGAGTTTAGACATTGCCTAATTGATTTTCATTTTTAACCAATCATTTCCCTAAATGTTAATCCAGATTAAGTGTGACACGAGAATGGGAAAATCTTTCATTACTAATACAAAGTTCCAAAATGTAAAAGTTCACATAGTCGATGAAAAAAGCCGAAATGAAATTTTTTAAATGACTTCTCTGAACCGTTTTTTAAAAAGATATTTCTTATTCTTCGTTTATAGAGGAACTGATTGTTGTACTAATAAAGATGGCCCTTACTGATTTCAAATCCCTAGAGCGAGTAACAGAAGGCGTTGAATTACATTGCGTAATCTTTAAGCACTGTTTTACATTTTTATTTGCAGTTACTGTTTTTTTAATTGTGTCCTATTCACTGTGCCGGAAAAGTTGGGTTGGAGAAAGAACTCCTTGTTATATGATTGTCCATGTTTTATTTATTTCATTATTTCGTTTCTTCTTAATTTTTAATCACAAACGACCGACATTCCAGACGGCTGCTAAGGGGAAGAAATTTTCTCATGAAAGGTGTGTGAAGGTTGCATTTCATAAACGGTTTTGGGGCTAAATAATGACACGGGTGATTCTTCTTTGAATGAAAAATTCTCTTTCGAAATTCTTCCTGGCTAGTCGAAAAGATACATGAAGAAATCTTGCGATTTAGAACTGGCTTATCTGTAAAATGTTTTATTTCGAATCAAAATATATGTCCTTAAGATTTGGATTCTTTAATAATTAATACAGGGGTTATCTAAAGAAACCGCTAAGTTTTGACGTAACAATTTTCAGTTTGTGTCCTTTTATTTTTTTTCTCTCTTTGTAGATAGGAAAGTCCCTTTCTGAAAATTTACTTTGCTTAAGATAAAAGCCAGCTGAAAACCTCGAATGAAACAAAAACCTTTTTATCCAGGTTGAGGTACATGTTTGTAACGGAAAAAAAAAGAAATTCATTTCTAATACAAAATTTTCACAGAATATTGTAATCCCCTAAAAACGAAAATGGAAAAGCGTTTCTTTAAATAAGAAATTCTCCCATTTTTTTGTATCGTAAATGACATGCAGTACATGCTACAGTACAGGACTGAGTACAGGACAGTAAATTTTTTTAAACAATCTCGTACCCATGATGGCCTTTTTTGGACCGGGAGGATTGGCGACTACCTACATGAACGAGAAGATTGGAAACTAATCTTTACGCGCGATATTTGATTTTAGCTGAAGCGTTCGCTGGAAATAGATCCATAAGAACGGTGAGATCTTTCTTATTTTTATCCATTTGTCATTTATTTATCACTACTACGAACACATTTTTGCTTTTTATTTCCCCTTTGTACACTTTCAAACGATGAGAGTGCCTTTCAGCACGAAAACTCCGCGATTATGTCGATGCGTACGACGACAAAAATTCTCGCCAGAAACACACATGTTGATAATTTGCCTTTCTTATTCGGTCAATGAATCTTTTCACGCTGTATGCTATTTATGAAAAACTTCTATATCTGGGAGACTTGAAAGACTTTGCCTTTTTGAAAGCTATCAACAACTGGGTACCTCGGATTTCTGAGATTTTCCGAAAGCCCCGTTAACTTTACAGGCACGAAGCCATGTACAGCGTAACTACTAATAGCGCGGTCCAATGCTCAAAAACCAATTGTTTCTGTTTCATTCCCTGGTATTTTCTATGTTGCTTGACTTCCTAACATCTAGATATTGAATTTAAATACTTAAAAAAAAAAAACGGCTTTGTGATCTGCAACTGCCACTACCTTTCAAAGACGAGCACATGAGCCATTCATCGTAAATAGCATCATCTTTGGATTTTACAAAGATGACTCTTGCTTCTCATGAATCTCTTTTAATAGGTATCTGAAATTTGTGGCACTGGTAAATGGGATGCAGGATGTCTAAAAGGACGGGCAGGAAAAGGAACAACACTAAACACAAGAAAGAAGAATCGGTCACAGTTCTGAATGAATTTGAAGACATGGTGGATCTTGGCAAGTTTGAAGAAATGAAGCGACCTCAACTTCAGGCGTTATGCAAACGATATGGACTTAAAGCTTCAGGAAAGGCAAGAAATTAGCCTTTTAAATTTGTTGCTCTATGGAAATGCAGTAACAGCAACAGTAGGGGACTCTTCTCACCTCGAAGGCATAAGTAAAATTGAAAATTAGTGGGTCAAAAAATGGTGAATTTCCACTATAGATATTGAATTGTTTCCATACAGAAAAATTTGGAAAAATCCCTTACTCTGTCCTTGTTGAGAATTTATTTTCAGCCCTTTAAGGGAATGATTTTTCTCTTAATATTATGTTGAAATCTGCTTCTCTTCTGTGATAATTCATGATAATGCTAAATGTGCCCAGTTTCTAGCCATAAGATGGCCAAGCTTCAACGGTTTTGTGTTGCATATTGACAGCTAGATATGCAACACCCTTAAACTCCCATGATTGACCAAGACAGAATTTCTCTCTACAATATCAATACAATATCAAGCAGACAAGCAATGAGAATAAAGACTGAAAAGCATCAATTGGCCATTTTACATTTGTGTACTTAGTTGCCAAGCTTTTGATTTGGAGTGAGGCTGAAGGTGACCTTGTTGTCATAGAGATCAGTATCTAGTTAGCATGATAACAAAGTAATTTACATTTAAAAAGCAGCAACATTGGTATCATGACAAGTTCACCCTTAGCCTCACTCTTGTTCTAAGGCTTGGCAACCAAGCCGACAACTATAGAAAGGACTATTAGGGAATTATTAGATGATCCAATACCAAATTCTCAGAACTGACATCATGTAAGGACAAGTAAGGAGAATTTACTAATGAGATCTAGGGAGTGAAAGGGTTTAAGACAGACTATGAACTTGAGATTCTAAGTAGTTGTTGGCAATGGTCAGGAGAGCTTTGACTCAATTTCTGTTTCTTCCTTGTCTCATTAGAATACCGAACTTGTCAAGAGACTTCAAGAACATGTTAGGAACAACAGCAACAACAACAACAATAACAATGTAAACAACAGCAACAACAATGCAGAAGACCCAGCATTGTCTTCGAGTTCTCACCAAGAAATAGAAGAACCAAAAAAGCTAGGCAATGTTACCTTTGAGAAAGCTGATAGTCATGTACAAGAAGTGACTGAACCCAAAAAACTGAGCAATGTTACTTTTGAAAAAGCTCATAGTCAAATACCCACAGATGAACATGTCCACGTAAGCAGTAGTGACAGCAGTAGCTCTGACTCTCCAAGTAGTCGTGTAGACCTACAGGCAATTGACATAAATGGGTGTGTTGGTCCAGACAGCACAGAAGATCCAAATTATCAACTAAGTGAAGAGGAAACAAAATCTAAACCTGATTTGACTTCAAGCAGAATTTTGAAAGAACTGAACTACAAGGAATCGCCTTCTGCAGGTCAGTAAAATGATTTGTGTATCAGCTGAAATGATTTTAAGTGACACTAAAACCTACTTTTGCTACATATTTTCTTTGAGTTCAATCACAAGAAACCCTGGAAATCTTGGTAATTTTTCTGAATAACTAGAGTCAATTGGTTAGAGCGCCGGTTTGTGTTGTGTGGGAGGTCAAGGGTTGAAGCGCCGGCCAGACCAACACTCATGGTCTTAAAATAACTGAGGAGAATTTGCTACCTTTATATAATGTCAAGAAATGGATAGATATGAATTCTAGTCTTCTCGGATAAGGATGAATAAACCGTAGACCCCGTCTCCTGCAGGGTTAGGGGTAGGAGACATTAATTTCCCACGCATGAGATTACTGTGTGATGGATGTCCTCCCCAGGGGTGGGATGGGTGGGTGTTCTGAGTGCCACAAGTTCATTAGCTTCTACTGTTAAGTGCTACCCTCTATAAATAAAGCCAGCCAGTAAGTAAAGGACCTAACATGTTTGAACCAACATAAAATTTTACACTTGATATGTAAATGCTCTTTTTCACACCATAATTTTTAACTGTAACACCCAAGAGTGACTAGCATCTCATTTCTTCATACAATATCACCCTTGAATTACACATCAATGACAAGGTCACAAGAATAAAAGAAATGATCATAAACTAAAGAAGCTCTTGATTGCTAAACAAATTCTCCCTGTCAGCACTTAAAGTGCATGTGACATGGAATTTTTTTCTCTTGTTTCTTGTAGTTGGATATCTATAGAAGACGTTTCGAAGCCTTAAAAGTGCTGGAAAAATCTAAAAGGCATTTTTTTTTGCTTTCAAAATATGCGCAACTTGCCTTCAAATTTTTCCTGGTCATAATGAAGCCAAAATCGCGCGTGACGTCACATTGTGTACCCAGATTCTTCGAAGTTGATGGAACTTTCAGAAGAGTCGGACTCAAAGGAATCATTAGAATCACTAGACATCTTTGCTTTCAATGCACTATCTATCTACTACGAAGTACTGCAGAATCCTCTCAGTGACAACAGACCTTCGTGGCAAAGGTACACAATGTGACGTCACGAATAACTTCAACGATGATAAACTAGGTCCCAGTTTCTGGGACAAATGTGAAGGCAAGTTGCGCATATTTTGAAAGCAAAAAAAAAATGCTCTATACATTTTTCCAGCACTTTTAAAGCTTTGAAATGTTTTCTATAGATATCCAACTACAAGAAACAAGAGAAAAAAATTGTGTCGTATGCACTTTAAGGAAATGTGTGGAGAATAGTACGGAGAATATGCATACTGGGGTTAAGGTGTAGAGGGTTCATAGGTCCTTAATAACAGGACTTTACTACCTGTATCAATAGCATATTTAAGAGGAAGTATTAATGATGCCTACAACATAGACAGAAACTCATCAACGGCTTTGAACAAAATGGTCAAATAAAAAGGTGTATCAATCATAGAAGAATAGGCCCATGTGTCAAGATGCATTCATTGAAATATGAAGCATGTGGGAAGCTTACAGAGCTCAAAAGATGCTTCATACTGTAAGGGTTGCTCTAGGCTTAGCTCAGAGAAACTGCAGCTTCTCTAGTGCTTTATATTGGGCAAGTACAGTTGCCAAGTGTACCAATTATATTACAACATTTACAACACTGTCAATGTCACCCACAGATAGAGTCCCCCTCTCTAGTTTCGATGCACTTGAATACTTGACATTAGAATGGAAAATGGGAAATTATGAAGCATTTTCAGAAAACTGAATTTTAGTGTGCAAATTTACTCAAAATAAGACATAGCTGTGTTATTAATATATACATGTAACATACATTGATTTGTAACCTTTTCAGGTCAAAACAACGACCCAAAGAAAGCTAAAATAGATACTTGTACCAATTGGTGTGTTGTTGAAGGTCTTTTGAAACAGGAAAACAAATCAATGTGGAAGAAGATATATCTTTCTGGAGGGAAGGCTATGATTTCCAACAGTTTTGGTAAAAGAGTTCCTTTTGTTTTGGAGCCATGTGGATTGATGACGCCCAAAGACTATGATGACAACTATATCTGCAGAAGCTGTGTCAGGGATAATGAAGTAGTGTTGCGATGCAAAGGTGGTTCAAGAGTTGTACATTCTTCTGCCATGCCACAAGAACCTGATAACAGTGGTAATGTTGTAACCATTTCCTGAACTTACCTTGAGGATGAAAATTCTGAATGACAATAGCAGTCCTAAAGTGACATGCTGACATGTACACATACACAATTTTAGATGTTTCATTCAATTTGGCAAGTTTCATTGATAATCCTGAAGAGTTTTGTTTTATCCTGTCAGAACCCACTACCAAATGCAGCACACCCCTATCATCTAGTCACAGTCTGCTGACAAGCTTTTCAAGATCAGGTTCAGTCAAGCGCAAGAGGAGTGAAGATGCCAACGGTTCTGTAGTGAACTCATCAACTGACTCTGACCAAATGGAGAAGAAGCGAAGGAAAGATGCCATTGTCAGATCTGGTAGCAGCACCCCAGCAAGCCCTCAAGTGCGCAGAGCCAGGGGAGAACAGCTAGTGTTACCCAGGTGATGAAAATGTTACTTCTCCTCACAATTTCAACCTATTTTCTCACCAATGGGTTATGAGAATTTTTAAAGTGATCAGCTTAGAGTTTATCTCCAATTTGGTTTTCTCCTCAAAATTTCAACCAATTTTCAAGCCAACAGGTTGTGCAAATTTTTAAAGTAATCCATTTCAACTTTGTTGATATATCCAATTTAAAGTAATCAGGCAAGAGTTTTCATCTTCAATTTGGTTTTCTCTTCAAATTACCTACTATCAAATTGTAATATCTGTTGAGTGTCTGTATCATTTTATCATTCTCACCAAATACAGTAGGTATTGAACCTCAATTTAACAAAGTGCCAAGAGACTGGGGAAATTGGTTTGTTATATCAAGAGTTCGTTATATCAAGGTTTTGAGGCATACATTTTACTGTAACTTGAACCGGGCTGAAACTGAAATATCATTTGTTATGGCAAGGAATATACTATTAGAGGCTCGTTAAATCAAGGTTCTACTGTAGAACTCGCCTGCTGAATCCTTCAACTCCCATGAGTGACCAAGACAGAATTTCTCTGAACAATATTGATACAATATCAAGTAGACAAGTAATGAGAATAAGGGAGAAAGAAAATCTGGGAAATATCAATCGATCCAATACCAAATTCTCCAAACTAACATCATAAGAATTGTATGGTAGATGGTAAGGAGAATTACTAAAGGGATCTTGGGAGTACAAGGGTTAGCCTTAAATCCCTTGGAGTGACTAGCATCTAATTTCTGTGCACTGTATCACTGCTGAATTTGTATTTGTATTTGTCTTTGTATTTAAAGATTCGTATAGTGTACAGGCTAGAGAACAATAGGACATGTAGTCCCCTACCAGGTTCACCGGCCTAAACCAATCCCAACCCACCCATGCCACCCCAGGGGAGGACATCCATCACACAGTAATCTCTTGCTTGGGAAATTAACGTCTCCTAACCCTAACCTTGCAGGAGACGGGGCCTACGGTTTATTCATCCCTATCCAAGAAGACTAGAATATCTAACCATTTCTTGATGTAATGGAGAGGTGCGCTCTATCCATTGAGCTAACTGGGAGGTGGTAATATATAGAGAACAGTATGGAGAATATGCATTCTGATGACAGGGACTTATTTGGTTAATTATCATTTTTTAGAAACCTCATACGACCATGGCAACCAAAGAAAACAACAAAGACATCACAAAGTGTTATTAGAGAAGACACAGAATTTGCAAAGAGAGTTGAGGAGATTATCAAAAATACACAGCCAGGCTCAGACGAAGAAATGTCTATGATAATGTTTTCTAAATCTAGCAGAATTCAACGTTCACCCACTAAGACTACAGAGTAATGTTCTTCTTATGTCAGTGAGATAAAACCAAAGTTGTAATTTGAAGGTGGTGGCAGCCAACACTTTTGATTAATATTGTTTGTAGCTAAGACTGAAACATACACCAAGCGGTGAAGGTTCATAGCCTTTGCATCCAGTTTGGCACAGAATTTCTCATTCCATTTCCTTGTAATGAGTCTTTTTACTACTCTCTGTTTAGCCAGCAGGTAGACACTTTAGGGTTTGCTGTAAGGTCAGTTTAAAAGCCCCGAATCTGTTTATTTTTGTACCTCTCATCCAAGATAAGCTTAGTCATTTAACACGACTGCTAAAGGTAGGCCTTTTTAACTAAATAAAGTACATTTTGAGAGGTGAATTCTCACAATAAAATGCCTCTTTTAAAAATCGATGAAATATTTTTGCTGTGTTATTTAAAAGTGCATTTCTGTGAGGCAACATGCCCCGTTTAATGGGGGAGGCAGATCAGAAATATCATGGTGAGGGGGTTATCAGATACCTTATTATAGGAATATAATGAAGCATGTTAATGACGCAAACAAAATTTACGCGTCATAAAATTAATGCAAATTTTTGATATTAGCGTTAATTACATGCATTGTTAATTTCCTACAATAAGGTATTTGTGTTTTGGGATTGGAAGTGATTTTATTTGGTACTTTTGTCTTTGTTGGATGCTACCATTAAGGTTTTATGGATGTATTATATTTTCCTAACACCTGACTGGTTCTTCTGGAAGTTATGCCATTATCTCCTACTTTGGTTGGTGCATAAGCAAATATTCACCTTAAGGTGGCTGAACAGTTTTTGATACCTTTGTTTCCTTCACCATTTTCTCTAAAACCCTTGATCTCTTAGTTGCCAAAATTGGCAGCAAGCAAGTTAACAACAAACTTTGTTTTTTCGATAGTTAAGCTAATGTATGTGCTGTTCGCATGGCAACATGAATAGATATAAATAGGCAATTAAAATTAGTTTTGTTTCTTTGTAGAAAATCTAGTCATTAGATTTTCTGTATAATTTGCATGCAGCGAGCATGTAAGGATACTCACAAGTTAACACTATTTTGCTAACAATTTGAGAGATCTTTGACTATCCCTTGTTGAAGGTTCACTTGATTTTCTAGAATTTCCTTTGTTTAAAATCAATTTTTTTTCAATACTCCAATTACTTATTTCCTAAAGTATTTTTGAGCCAAATTTTATGAAATTCTAATGAGTGGTTCTCAAGAAATAGGCATATTTCTGGGAAAGCAATTTTCCATTCAATCCCAATTTTTTTACTTACTACGCATGCGCTGCATTTAACAGGTTTCTTTCGGTAACGACAGAAAAAGCTGAGAATTGCTGGGTTCTCTGCACCATTAACTTTTCTAACACATCTTTGTAATAAAAGATTAAAGCCCTCTATACACTGCGCCAACTGTAGAGAAAGCTAGACCAGACAGTGCGGGTACATGTTGAGTAAATGAAATGACTTCTCTGTTGACGGCATGTTTGTTTTTAGCAATCCTTGTGCGTGCGCTGAATTGCATCAGCAAAAGCATGCACAAAAACTATGTTCAGCCACCTTAATTAACTTTTGATCATAACTAGTACAAAATTGACCCATTCGAATTCACTCCCAAGATCTCATTATTGTAAGTATTTCTCCTTTCGGTTGGTCAGAACATAATGTTTAATTCAATCAATGTCAATGTTAAGTAAATCACAAAGTAACTTTTCAAAGATATTTTTATTTAAGATTGTTGCCAACATGCTCATAACCATTTTGCTGCATGCATGCAGGTCTTACAGAAACTGGCAATAGGTTTTTTCTATTTTTTTAAATAGTTTGGTAACCTTTTATGGCACAGAATCAGGACAAAAATGACAAATCTCTAGTGAAATATTTTGATACTTTTTTACAAGAATATGAAATATGATCAAATTAATTATGAATTGTATTTCACTGATAGCTCATAATCTGTCACTTCTCGAAAATTCATCTTTGAATAATTTTTTTTGGAGGTTACTTTGGCATCAAAGTGATATTCATTATAACATACTTAGCAAAACTTTCCCTAGTTTTAATTCTTGTTTTATAAAAAATATTTTCCCATGAAACATTTTGATACTCTTTTACAAGAATATGATCAACATATAATCAAATTTTAAATTATGAATTGTAATTCTATCAGCAATAGCTCAAACTCTGTCACTTTTCAAAAAATTTATCTTAAAATATAATTTTTTGAGGTTACATTGGCATCAGTGATGTTCATTGTCACATATTTAGCCAAACTTTCCCTAGTTTTAATTCTTGTTTTATAAAAAACATTTTTCCAACATTTATAAAGTAAATTTTGATTGTTATTCTATCCAAAAACAGACAGTAAAAAACCAGGTGTTACCATGCTAAACTTCATGAACTTGGTTGTCAAACTGACACTGCATATGACTTTATTCATCACTTAAACTAAGTGAAACAATTTCCTCACTGGAATTTATTGTTTGATAAATATATCTTACTTAAATTGTAAACTGCAACTTTAATTTTGCACTTACAAGCGATTTTATATCACGGAAAACCAACTTTCCTCCCGATTTAAATCTACTTCAGATGTGTTCAATGGTTTTCCTGATGTATCAAAACCGAGAATGCGTTGTTTATCTTTGAGGTAAGACTTGAAGTAAAACAGCTCACTGCCAGGTTCCCTTGCCACCTTGTAGAACAACACTTCAGGATTGTCTTTCCTAACTTCTTCAAAGGTGTTGTATTGGCTTGGAGATTTAGGAAGATTCTGTGGACAAGAGCAGTCAGACTCTGTGTCAGAGCAGCTCAGGAAAGGACTGCTGTCAGTGACAGTGGCTTACGTTTTGACAATCTCAGTGGAAGTTATGATCATTTTTAACCCATTAACTCTTAGAAGTGATCAATATGCAACTTCTCCCTATAATATCCAAACATTAATTACTAAACAGGTTATGAGAATACTCGAACTTATCAGATAGAAGCTTTTATCCTTAATCTAGAGCCAAATTCTTGTAACTGACTGACAAGGAGATGTGTAGCAGCTACAAGGGAGAATCAGATTTAGGGAGAAAGAGAGAGTTACATACATACATTCATACATAGGTTAATTGACCACTCCCCATAGAGGCTTTTCATGGCCAACACCCACCCATCCCACCCCAGGGGAGGACATCCACCACACAGTAGTCTCGTGTGTGGGAAATTAACGTCTCCTACCCCTAGCCCTGCAGGAGATGGGGCCTATGGTTTATTTATCTTTATCTGAGAAGACTAGAATATCTATCCATTTCTTGTTATAGAAAGGTAGTAAATTCTCCTCAGTTATTTTAAGACCATGAGTATTGGTCTGGCCGGGGCTCAGACCCTCGACCTCCCACACAACACAATCTGGCGCACTAACCAGTTGAGCTATATTCTGCATGCCAAGAAGATTTTTGTGCAGGAGGTCATCATCACACTTTCACAAAGGCTATCACTGTTTGCCATATCATCTTGAACATTCCTTTTCAGCATAACTACTCTGTCTTCGATATTCAAAATAATATAATTTGTACTATGCATTAAAATAATCTGGTATCATAATCCTAAATTCAGAAACGAAGTAGTTCTTTGCACCCCCAACCCTCCCCTCCCCCACCCTCTTATGTAGAAAATTCCATTTCAATTTACCCCTGACAGGAGACAATTAACAGGCAATTTTCTGCCATCATACCTTGGCAAGGACGGTGTCATCATCCTTGTTTATTGCCACAACACTTCCACTTTTATTTTCCAGAATGACAACTTGATAAGCTTTTCCGTTTGCATCTTGTTCTATAACAGTGTGGATCTTAAACAGAGCTGTTAAAGAATATAGCTAAGACATTTTGTTTAGTAAAACAAACTATCACTAATAAGGAATTTTTTACATAGCAAAGAACTTTCTTTTCTACTTAATTGTCCCTATGGACAAGTGCAGTGTTTCTTTCATTTACTTGTGACCTTAATGTGTGATTTAGGAATGATATTGTGCGGAGAAATCAGATACTTGTCACTCTTAGGAGTTAAAAGGTTTATGTTTGTACTGCTATTCCAAGGTGGTGACGATTTTGTTACCTGTGAGCTGAGTGTTCTCCTGTTTCTCTCGAAGATCCCTGATCATACTTGACCTACCACTATTTCAGTAGTTTTGGTTGTAGATTGAAATGTTAAGATGATACTTACTTTTTTGGTTTGTACTGACTGCATTGGATGAAACAGATGTTCCATTTACCCACAAGTAGTGACCTGGAACCTGTCCAGTTTCATTTAGAGAGATAAGCTGATGATTTTCAGTGTTCCATTCTCTGTCATGTGTGTCAAAGACTCTTACATTTGTCTGCTATGGGGTAAATATATCATTTATTACATACATTATTATTCCACAAGGGTGTGGCAGGGAGAATGGCTAAGAGATGATGGGAGGTGTTGCTGGTAAGAATTTCGAAGGGTACTAAGATGGGGATGGGGGAGAGATTTGGAGTTGAAGTAGATTTAATCGCCAAGTGACCCATCTGGCTCAAGCTTATCCCAGTTTACGTTGCAGAAAGAGACGAAGAACATGACTTCTTCCCCTGGATGGTATGTTACTCTTTCGTAAATTGTCCTCCCCTTTCAAACATCCCCCCCCCCACTTCTGCCTCCTTAGAATATGGTGGAATAGGCCATTTTACAGTTGTGTACTTAGTTGCCAAGCCTTTGATTCAGAGTGAGGCTGAAGGTGACCTTGTTGTGTTAGAGACCTGTAGCTAGTTAGCATGATAACAAAGTGATTTACATTTGAAAGGCACCAAGGTTTGTATCATAACAAGGTCAATCCTAGCCTCACTCCCGTTCAAAGGCTTGGCAACCAAGCACACAACTGTAAAATGGACTATTGTCTTTATAGTGAGAGGCATAGTGGGTAAATGTTTTCCATAAGGTAATGTCTTGAGGTAGAGCAATGTCGATCTACGTCAACTTTTGCTGATTCTTATGTGACATCATCAAATTCGAACATCCAAAAATATAGAGCCACATTAAACTTTTATCCTTACCAGGCATAAGGAGGTCTATATTCATATCCCTTTTCAAATTTTAAGCTCAATAGCGTGCTTGGTTTGGAAACCAGTGCAGTTTTAAGTTCAGACTTATTATGGTAATTGCGTGACATACGGCTGCGATCGCATTGCTGAATAATAGAGGCCAAGATTTCCGTTTAACCCCAATACATTAATTATGCATAGAGTGTTGCAAAGAAACCTTGATATTTAGTCTTTATGAAATGGAATGCATAATTAATTATAGGGTTATATCGAAATCTTTCCATTATAGGGACTTATCTTGCGATTTATAGCCTTGTCAGGAAATTAAGTGTTAGTAAAGGTGTTTTTGTATAAGTTTGTTGGTTTAGTTAAGATAATCAGTGGGCTAGATAGCCAGAGTAAGTTCCCGATGTTTTACACTATTTCCGACCGACATGGTGGCTCCGTGGTGGGCTTTGTAAATTTGCGCAAAACATTTCGACGAATACCTCATTAAGTTTGGGAAAACAAAGAGACCTAAAACTTGGACAAGTGCTTCCTTAGCTTATCTCCTATAACGACGCAAATTCTCGACCTTATCCGCCGAATTTCTTTCTCTTGATGCGTAATAATGAAAACGATGAATAAAAGACTGTTTTTTGCATTTGAAATGCCATTTTCATTTGTGCAAGAGCGTAATTGTCTTAAACGAGCCTTTCAATTTCCAATCTACATGAGGAAAAAAAGGTTTTAGAAGCCACTAATTCAAGCCAGAAAGTAGATTTTCGCCGGAATTAAGTGGTTCAGTGGCTCGATTTGAATATATTCTATGCACCGTACCGAAGTATTGCGCAAGTCTGATCGCATTTGGCATTCAATTAAGTTCAAGGAAGGCCGTGAGGCGAAGGTCTCGTAGAATATTTGAAAATTAAATTAAATATTTGAACTTACATTTTCCATATTCTCTTTGGTCTCCATTGTTTGAGAACACCAAGTTCTGTTGTAAATCTGTGGATGTTTGACAATTATTTGGGAAGTTGAACGCCGAAGAACGCGGAAGCTGTAGCGAAGACTAACTACACTTTTCGATAAATCACACAAATTTATCTAGCTCGACACGGACATTACGTCATCGATGGGAGGGTAGAGGTGGGGCTTGTGACTTTCAACTTCCGATTCGTAAACGAAAGCCAGGCAAATTTTCCGCCCCTGGGTGAGATTGGATTATTTGATAGAAGGGAAAAAAATTGAAAATAAACGCTGGAAGTGAGGGACCATCCGTCCTTTTGTCCGCGAGCAAATTTCCGATAGCTGTGAGACGGGTTGTTAAACTGAATTTACTCGCAAGCATGATGGTGGTTGTAGGCACTGCAGAAAGCCGCCCCGTCTGTCCAACTGCACAGAGGAAACGATCTCTGGATTGGGGAGCTTTCTGTAAATTACCTTCTGTGTAATACCCGCGAGACAGGCTACAAAATGCAGACTGCATACTGGGTGCAAAATGCAGACCGAGAATTTAAAATGTTTTTTCGTCTGATACGTGGGAAAATGCATCTTACAACTTACCGAGTGTCACGCAATCGCTTTGCCGCGATCACGTTTTACGACCATTTGCACTGCGGTGGAAAATTCCTTTCCCATTTCCTCATATATTTTGTTGGAGGCTAAAATTTAGGAATTTTGGATTTATTTTGTTTTCCTAACACCTTACTGGTTCTGATAGAAAACTAAGGTAAAGGTTAAAGCCTTAACTCAAGTCAAGTGGCTGATCCTGCCGGAGTTTATCGCGGTTTCCCTGGCAGGAAGCACCTTTGTAGATTTCTTCCCCATGTATGGACCGTCTGTATGGGATGCTTGTAACAACTCTTCATTCAAAGCTCCCATGAGCATTTTCAAAGGGAAACAAATGAAAAAAAAAAAACATTTGTGATGGTGCTTGAGTTTAGATGGTGCTAATAACCTGTCCGAAAATAGAAGCATTGACTAGTTGAAACGTTAAAGTGTTTTGATACATTGCATGCCTACCTTCAAAGCTGGTACCCAGGCCTAGGGTTTCCCATAAAATTTTCTACAAATACAGCTGTCGCGCCATTTTTAAACAGGAGAAAAGCACTTTTCGTCCCCACCGAAATGTCACGCTGTAAAGAGATCACGAGGTATGTTAACTATTGTAGTGTCCAGGCCTCCAAGTCCACGCCCAAGGCCCCAGGAGACTTAGACTCAAGTAGTTATTATGCACTGTGAGTGAGAACGGGGGTGAGAAAATTTAGGATAAGGAACAAACTACGCGAACTGTAAGCGAACTGTGTAAGCGAACTCCTGAACATTACACTGGCGACGAGGATCATCTCACTGGCGTTCGATCGAATTGTTTCGATCGAGATATCTCTGCGAACGGCCGCATATGATACAAATCTCAACTTCGGGCCGTTTGACCCGGACCTAGATCCGACATCGGTCGGCACAAGATTCAGGAAATATCTCGCAAGATTCAAAGTATACTCTGTAGCGATGAATATAAAGGAGAAAGCGAGAAAACGAGCACTATTCTTACACTGTGCGGGTCCCAAGGTACAGGACATCTTCGACACACTTGAGGATACGGGAGAAGACTTCGAAACCGCAGGAGAGAAATTTCCAGAGTACTTTGAGCCTAAAAGACATCATCTTTTTAGCGTATACCAATTTCGGCAGTTAGCCCAAAAGGAAGAGGAGTCGTACGATGATTACACCACGCGTTTAAAGCGAGCAGCGGTTCCGTGCGAATTTCCAGAGGGTTGGCGTGAAGTTGAAATACAAATGCAGCTAATTGAAAAGGGAATATCGAAGAGAGTTAGACGCCGCTTGCTCAGTAAGCCGCACTCGCTTCGGGAGGCGTTAGATTACGCTAGAGCACAGGAATTGTCGGATAAACAAGCGAAGAGAATCGAAATGGAGCAACAAAGTCGAGGGAATAATACCGAGGAAGAGTTGAAGGGGGTCTCATTAGGAAGGCAAAACAGCCCGACTGGATCAACAAAGAGTGTTACTTTTGTGGAGGCGCATTTCCACACGCGGGAGGAAAGGAGAAATGCCCGGCATGGGGAAAGAAATGCACCACATGCCGGGAGCTGAATCATTTTGCCAAATGCTGTAGGAGTAAAAGGAAAGTAGATAAGAGTACCGTAAAGGCAGTTCATCAGGAGGTGCAATCAGATAGCAGTGACGCCGAATCCCTTCGCGGGATCGAAGAAGTTGGGGCTGTCGAAAGCAACCCAAAACCCAGGCCAGTAAGAAGTATAAAAATCGAAAACCGCGAAGTCAAAGTGCTGATCGACACAGGAGCGTTGGTTAACGTAATGGATGAATGCACCTTTCAGCAGCTACTTGCCAATAAGATCAAATTGGAGAAGTCGACAAGTGTTTTGCGCTCGTACCAAACGAATGAAAACCCGTCCAGGCCATTAACAGTTATGGGAAAATTCCATGCAGTCCTAGAGCCAAACACGAGATGATCATCCCGGCAATGTTGTGGGGGCCTCATGTTAGATAACTCCTTGGGTTAATGAGCGTCCCTCCTTAAAGAAAGTTTATTGATTGATTCATTGATTGGTTCCACGTCACTAAAGGTAACACTAACACGGAACCCTTGATAAGATTTCAGACTGCCGAAAGTCTTGGCCTAGTGGTGATTACGAATGCAATACGAACTGATCATCCTGAAATGTTCACGAGCAAATTACTTGAGGAATACGCAGACCTGTTCCTGGGGATCGGGAAAATGGAAGGAGTGCTGGTAGATCTACACGTTGCGATACAAAAGGCTACATTTTGGCAGGAGATCCGCGGGTGAAATCTTTCAAGACACCGTGAGCAGGGAGATCACCCGAGACATACCTGGATGCCTCAACATCAGTGACCTTCTGAGAAGTTTACTCAAAGCCAATGTTTTTGCCTAGACGAGAGATCGTCAGGAAGCGTTCGAGAGTTTGAAAGAAGGCCTTAGCTCAGACACAGTCTTGGTCTATTTCGACCCCGCCGCAGAGCATGAAGTACATGTGGATGGCTGTCCGTTGGGAATCTCAGCAACCTTGGTCCAACGTGAGTCGAGTGACAAAGGCTGGAGGGTGGTGCAATACGCAAGCAGGGCCCTCTCAGATGCGGAACGGAACTATTCCCAATAAATCGAGCTAGAGATGCTTGCGGCAGATTTCGCGTGCAGGAAATTTCATGTATCCATGTATGGCTTGCCGTTCAAAATAGTCACCGATCACAAACCGCTTGAAGTCATCCTGAACAACCCTAGGCATCAGGCGCCAATACGGCTTCAAAAAATGATGGTGCGAATGCTCGATTATGAGTTCAAGGTCGAACATAGGACCGGAAAGACGAATATCTCCGATTATACATCTAGGCACCCGCTCCCTCGTGAAACCTGCACTAGAAGGGAACTAGACACTACCAAGGATGTCAAGCAGTACGTGGTCGCAAGTGACATTCCCCGGGCTATCAGCAAAGAGTACCTGGTAAAGGCAACGGAAAACGACGAGGAACTAAAAAGGTTAATCACGTGTACACGGGAGAGGAAGATTGACCACAGGAACCTAGACATGAAAGCGTACTTCAATATTTACGATGAATTGGCTGTGGCTGAAGGTCTTGTCCTTCGGGGTGAAAGAATCGTAGTCCCTCGAGAACTCAGAGAAACTATGGTGAAAATTGCTCATGAGGGCCACCAGGGCATCGTTCGCACGAAACAACTACTTCGTGCCCACGTTTGGTTTCCCAGAATCGATAAGATGGTCGAAAAGCACGTTGGGAAATGCCTAGCTTGTCAAGCTACCATCCCCTGCCACACCAGAGAGCCACTCCAAATGTCGGATCTGCCAAAAAGTCCCTGGAAGAAGATCAGTGTGGATTTTGGGGGACCTTTTCCAAATAAGGACATGGCTTTAGTGATCTGGGACCAGTATTGAAGGTATCCTGTCGTAGAATTTGTCACAAGTACCTCCGCAGAGGCTGTAATTCCCCAGCTCACACGTGTTTTATTTCACTACTTATGGAATTCTAGAAGAGGTGAAGACAGATAACGGCCCCACATTTAATGGGTGCAAATCTGCAAAATATGCCCAAGAACAAGGGTTCAGGCACAGGAAAGTCACACCCGGATGTGCGGAGGTAAATGGTGACGTCGAACGATTCATCCAGACGGTCAAAAGGAGCGCGAGGGTTGCCAAGATTGAGGGGAAAGCATTTAAAATAGAGATCCGAAGGACGGTTGGCAACTATCGTGCGACACGCCATCCTGTGACGAGAGAGAGTCCCGACAAGCTTCTGTTCGGGAGAGAGATAAGAAGAAAACTGCCAGAAAGGGTCGTTCCTCTGGAAGAACAACGCCATGACCTAATCTGTGAAAGTGACGAGAGAAAGAAGAAGCAAATGAAAGCTTATGCTGATGAGCGCAGACACGCATTACAAAGCTCGATCAAAATTGGTGACCGTGTCCTTTTGAAACAGAATAGGGGTAACACGTTGACCCCGGCGTATGATCCACGGCCATATGCAGTCGTTGGAATGAAAGGGAACATGATCACTGTGAAGAGGGGAAAGGAAGTCAAATCCCGCAATTCTTCCCACTGTAAGGTACTTAAGTACGCTGGAAAGGAGGAGTACGACGATTTGGGTTGTGACAAGGAACAACAATCGATGAACAGGCGATTAACGAACCGCCATATTGAAGTAGGGAAGGTCCCTGGAGAAGGAAATATAGTCATGCAAGAGACGCACAGTGGACCGACAATCGCGCCATCGGAACCCCGGAGATCTGTACGAGCCAGAACATCCACATGGGAAACAATTTACAGAGACTTCGAGCCTCACCAAAGAAAATGGGGGAGGTGTAGTATCCAGGCCTCCAAGTCCACGCCCGAGGCCCCAGGAGACGTAGACTCGAGTACTTATTATGCACTGTGAGTGAGAACGGGGGTGAGAAAATTTGGAATAAGGAACAAACTACGCGAACTGTAAGCGAACTGTGTAAGCGAACTCCTGAACATTACAACTATGTATTTAACCAAAGATGAGTGTCCAGTAGCCAGCATGTTGTGCAAGTGCTACGTTTCGTTTATTTTAAACCCGTATCAAGCAGCTGTAGCGTTTTATTAAAGTACGAAAAGGTTGAAAGTAGTTTCTTTTGGTAACGTGGATAAAATGCAAACTGAACAAATGCAATACAAAAAAAAGTGTCGTATCTGCCCAAATGTCGCACAATAGTAAATAATTATCTCCTACTTTGCCGAACTTTGGCTAGTGTGTGAGCAAATGACACTAACGGTAGCCCACTAGCCACTGACTAGTAAAAATTCAGTTTTGGCTACTGGTTTTTAATTTCCACTAGCCAGTTTGGCTAGTCAACAGACTGAAATCGTCATAACATCTAAAAGCATCTAAGATGTCACTAGCCACTTGGTTAAGTAAGTTGACGGAAAAGTTAGCGTCGAGCCCTGAAATGTTCATTTTAAACAGTAATTGTGTTAGACCCATTCACTCCCAAAATCTCTTTAAGTAATTCTCCTTGCTGTCTATCACACAATGTTTAATTTGATCAATGTCAATGTAAAGTAAAACACAAATTGATTTTTAAAATAACTTTTTTATTTAAGATTGTTACCAACATGTTCACTTGTAACCATTTGCTGCAAGTAGGTCTTAAAGAAACTGATTAGAGGTTTTTCTAAATGAATTTAAAATAGTCCAGTAACCATTTATAGTTTTTGCAGAGAATCAGTACAAAAATGAAAAAATCTCCAGTGAAAGTTTTTGATACTTTTTACATGAAATTATGTGACATATATTAGTGTAATTGAAATTCACTAATAGCTCAAAATCTGTGACTTTTCTTAAAAATTCATCTTTGAATAACTTTTTTTTTTAAGTTGCTTAGGCATCAAAGTGATATTCATTATAACATGTTTAGCAAAACGTTTCCTAGTTTTATAAAAAAATATTTCTTCGACATGTATAAAATTACATATTGATAGTTACTCTATCCTAAAACAGATGATAAAAATGATGTGTTACCATGCTTAACTTCATGAACTTTGTTGTCAAACTGACACTGGATATGACTTCATCAGCTTAACATAAGTAAAACAATTTCCTCCCAGCAATTTTCTGTTTACAAAATATCTCTTACTTTAATTGCAAACTGTAACTTTAATTTTCCACATATGAGAGATTTTATATCACTTTAAACCAACTTTCCTCCCGATTTGAGTCTACCTCAGATGTGTTCAATGCTTTTCCTGATGTATCAAAACCGAGGATGCGTTGTTTATCTTTGAGGTAAGACTTGAAGTAAAACAGATTACTGCCAGGTTCCCTTGCCACCTTGTAGAACAGCACCTCAGGTCTCTCTTTCTTAACCTCGCGAAGGGTGTTGTATTGGCTTGGAGGTTTAGGAAGATCCTGTGGACAAGAGCAGTCAGACATTGTGTCAGAGCAGTTCAGGAAAGGACTGCTGTTAGTGACAGTGGCTCATGTTTTGACAATCTCAGTGGAAGTTATGATCATTTTTAACCCATTAACTCTTAAAAGTGATCAATATGCAACTTATCCCTATAATATCCAAACATTAATCACTAAAAAAGTTATGAGAATACTCAAACTTATCAGGTTAAAGTTTTATCCTTAATCTGGTTCCAAATTCTTGTAACTGACTTACAAGGAAATAAGTATAAGTTATCAAAGTGTTTGCTAGGCCGCCTTAGAACATTCCTATCAGCACAGCTGAAATTTGTAATAGGCATTATAACAATCTGGTATCATAATCCTAAATTCAAAAAGGAAAGAGTTCTTTGTACCCCCAACCCTCCCCTCCCCCACCCTCTTACCTAGAAAATTCCACTTCATTTTAGCCCTGACATGAGATAATAATTAACTGGCAATTTTGTCCCATGATACCTTGACAAGGACGGTGTCATCATCCTTGTTTATTGCCACAACACTTCCACTTTTATTTTCTAGAATGACAACTTGATGAGCTTTTCCATTGTTGTCCTTCTCTATGACAGTGTGGATCTTAAACAGAGCTGTTAAATATAGATAAGAAATTTGTTTAGTAAAACATACTATCACTGATCAGGTAATTTTTACGGGGCAAGGAACTTTCTTTTCTACTTAATTGTCCCTTTGGCTTAGTGCAGTATTTCTTTCATTTACTTGTGACCTAATGTGTGATTTAGGAGTGATATTATGTGGAGAAATTACATGCTTGTCACTTAGGCCTAGTTTATGCGTCGCGCTATAGTCGAATTTAATTCAAGGTACCATAAGCAATTACATTCGACGATAGCGCGACGTCTAAAACGAATTAAACTCGTCTGGTAAATTAAATTCGCCCTTGACGTTTTATCCGTCTTGGTAAGACCGATAAAATATCGTTAACGCGTCTTCAGTTTCTACGTCGCACTAGCATTGCGTCGAATAAAATGCATACATTTTTTAATGTATTTCAATTTATTTCAAAATGACACCTCTGACCAGAGGCACTGCATTTGGGAAGAGAATTAAATTCGATCGTATTGATTTCGACGCATAAAACCACGCCACGATTTACGTCGACGGAACGACGAATTTAATAGAATTAAATTCGACTGTAGCGCGACGTATAAACTAGGCCTTAGGGATCGAAAGGTTTACGTTCGTGATGCTATTTCAAGGTGGTGACGATTTTGTTTCCTGTGAGCTGAGCCGCCTTCTGTTTCTCTAAGATGATCCCTGATTGTACAGTAGCTACCACTATTTCGGTAGTTTTGTTTGTAGAAATATCAAGATCACACTTACTTTTTTGGTTTGTACTGACTGCATTGGATGAAACAGATGTGCCATTAACCCACAAGTAGTGACCTGGAACCTGTCCAGTTTCGTTTTGAGAGATAAGCTGATGATCTTCAGTGTTCCATTCTCTATCATGTGTGTCAAAGACTCTTGCATTTGTCTGTTATGGGGTAAATATGTGATTTATTACATACAGCATCATTCCACAAGGGTATGGCAGGGACAATGGCTAAGGGATGATGGGAGATGTTGCTGGTAAGAATTTGAAAGGGTACTAAGATTGGGTGGGGGGGGATTTCCAAGTGACCCATCTGGCTGAAGCTTATCCCGGTTTTTGTTGCAGAAAGTGACGAAGAACATGACTTCTTCTCCTGGATGGTATGTTAGTCTTTTGTAAATTGTCCCCCCCCCGCCCTTTAACCATCCCCCCCACTTCTGCCTCCTTAGAATGTGGTGGAATTGTCTTTATAGTGAGAGGCATAATGGGTAAATGTTGTCCATCAGGTCATGTCTTGAGGTAGAGCAATGTCGATCTGCGTCAACTTTTCCTGATTTTGACGTGACATCATCAAATTTGAACATCCAAAAATATAGAGCCACAAAAACTTTTATCCTTACCAGGCATAAGGAGGTCTCTATTCATATCTCTTTTCGAATTTTAAGCTCAATAGCGTGCATGGTTTGGAAACCAGCGCAGGTTTAAGTTCAGACTTATAATGATGATTGCGTGACATACAGCTGCGATCGCATTGGTGAATAATAGAGGCCAAGATTTCCGTTTAAACCCAATACATTAATTTAATTATGCATAGAGTGTTGCAAAGAAACCTTTATATTTAGTCTTTATGAAATGGAATGTATAATTAATTATAGGGTTATATCGAAATCTTTCCAAATATGGACGTATCTTGCGATTTATAGCCTTTTTAGGAAATTAAGTGTTATAAAAAGTGTTTTTGTACGAGTTTGTTGGTTTAGTTAAGATAATCAGTGGGCTAGATAGCCAGAGTACGTAAGTTCCCGATGTTTTACACTATTTCCGACCGACATGGTGGCTCCGTGGTGGGCTCTGTAAATTTGCGCAAAACATTTCGACGAATATCTCATTTAAGTTTGGGAAAACAAAAAGACCTAAAACTTGGAGAAGTGCTTCCTTAGCTTATCTCCTATAACGATGCAAATTTTCAACCTTATCCACTAAATTTCTTTCTCTTGATCCGTAATAATGAAAACGATGAATAGAAGACTGTTTTTGCATTTGAAATGCCATTTTCATTTGTGCAAGAGCGTAATCGTCTTAAACGAGCCTTTCAATTTCCAATCTACATGAGGAAAAAAAGGTTTTAGAAGCCACTAATTCAAGCCGGA